ATAAAAGTAAATCAGAAGGGAATTTATAGTAAATAAGCAGGCAAATTTGCCTGCAAACCTCTACAGTTTAAGGGATAGCTTGATAAATCAATGCGCAGTAATATTATAGTAATCGTATATATTACGGAAATAAGCAATAATTTATTTCAAACTTTCTCGCACATTCTCAAATTATGTATAGCCCCTTGATGATCCTTATATATGTGATAGCGTTAAATTCTTTATTGTTAAATTAAGGGGATGCTGTTGATCAAATTTTCGTGATGTGATCATATTAACCCAAAGTGTATTCCAAGATTAATTCTGCAAATTGTATAAAAAGATGATGTTCTGGCTAGCGAATCCTTTTATCTGCCTCATGCAAGTAAAATAAAAAAAATGAAAAATTAAGCGAAACATTTAAACTTATCATAATTTACATCATTGATATTTACAATCAAACAAACTCGTATATTCCGCAAAGTAATAATAAGGTAGAGTTGGGTTTATTACTTGATTAGTTTCTTTAAACATGTCATCATGGTATTAATCTATTTTCCCGCCTATATAGATGTTTCAAAACAAAACGGACATAATACTTGGCATTTTGATCTTTGCTGAGAAAATCGTGATCACCGTCATATGTCTAATCAGCGCAATAATTTTTCTGTGGCTTTGCAAATTTCACCTGATTCTCATTACATGTCGAGACCGTTATCTTGATATTTGACACAGTATCATAACGGCGATAAAAATTCTCTTTATTACTTAACTAAAGTCAAGAGCAACAAATTTCTCAATATTTGGCAGAGTGGAACGCTACAAAAATGAAATATCATGGTAAGGATGAAATAAAGTGGATTAGTAGTGTATTATTTATTTTTTATCGAAAATTATGGGCATATACTTATTTCTATTCTTCGGTTCTATAATTTATATCATGGAAAATTCTCTTGCGAAACTTAACTTTTACATGATCTATGTGGGTGAAAGTGAATGTGTAATAAAAATAAGCGAAAATATATATGTAAGTGAGATGAAGTAATAGAATGCGGGAAACTTATAGATAGAAAGAAATTAGTTATAGATACTTTTCGAAATTGCGAGAGAGCAAAGAAATAATTTGATGCTAAGACTCGCATTAAAATGGTCTAGGATTCACGTACTCCCTTCCTCTTTGATTATATATTTCTCTTGCAATCTTACTAATCTGAAATTATTAATAAAGTTTTGTATATGTAGATGTGTAACTTTTCATTGATTTTTTGTAAAGGACAGCATTTCAGTCACGGTATACTGGAAATATAGATGAGGGATGAAACCCCTTAATAACAGTCGAAACTTAGACGAAACTATATTAAAATCATAATAAGGGATACGATGAAACCCATTCGATATGACGAAAGCTGAAACTGTCGAAACTATATTAAAAACATAGAAAAGGGTATGACGAAATTATTTTGAGGAGGTTTCAGCAGGCATCTATAACTGGAAAACATCATACAGGTAATGCCTTAAGCACGCATGCAAAAAAAATTCTACAGAATGCTTCTAAACATCTGATATAGGAAGTAATGGCCGTATTCCAGTAGGTAGGACCCTGAACAATATTATAAGAACCTATATTTGATTTTTTGGTATCAAATTCCCTTTTTAAAAAAAATGCTATATTTAAAAAAGGTGTATGAGGTTTGAAACTTATATTTGATAATGATTATTGATCTTTCAACTCGTATTTGATATTTGGGATAATTTAAGACAATGATCGACATGAGAGATTTGAAATTTTAGTAGCAGAACTGGTTTTCGGATTTACCTTATATATAATAGTTTGTATTACCACAAACTTTTATAGAACACAAATTTTACTTTTTTTTTAAATTACTTTTTAGAACACAACACTAACCTTTTGTTGTTTAGCAAAAAAATTTATGTAACATTTTTTTTTTTTGATATAATAGATGGTTAAGCATACAAAAGAGCGACTTTTAGAACACTCTAATATAATTTCAGTTTCTGATGATGGTTTGACGGCATTTTGCAAATGTGATCAAAATATAAAACTCAGATATCCATATAATGATGATTATGTGAAAAGACATATAAAAAATGATGGCTGTAAATAGACTCCACAAAATCGAGAAATCACCCATCTTTTTCAGTTTGCTGAACCTACAAATACATTACCCAAAAAGCGTTTTACATGTATGGGTTTATGTGAACAAATTCATCGTACATATACTCAACGTGTTCAGCTTACTATTACACATGGTAGTTATCCTTCACGTCATTTATTAGCAAAGCAGTTCTTTCCTGAAAAATTTTCAGAAAAAGTCGATTATAGCAAATTAAATCAATCAGAACTTGACTTGCTTCATAAAGAAGTAATATGAAAGTCAAAGTAGCGTATTGAAGGAGAAACGGTTCGTAATACTAAATGTAAACTTTATACATCAAATATTTCAGAAATATGTATTGAATGTATCAATATTAATAATGATCAAGTATTTCAGATAAGTGATAATGACAATATTTATATAACTACTGTACTTCTTAATTATTATTTATTTATCTAATTTTTTAAATTTTAGAATGCTTTAAACAAAAAACCCATCAAACCATCCAATATAAAGCATACTCCAAAGATAATACTAAATAAAAATCCAATTTCAAAATTTCTTTTTAACAAAGATATTTCTACATTAATGGAAATACTTGGAACTCAAAATTCAGAGTGTCAAGAATCTTTTTGGTTTAAATTAGGAGAATTGGGAGAACGTGAAGCATTTGAAAAGAAAGCTGTATTTGAAGGATTGTGTGAAGTTATGGTTAAAGTTGCCGAATGTCAAGAAGCGGAAAAAGGACTTCAAAATCTAACATATTCTAAAAAATATTCAGATTTTATAGCAGTTTTATCATCATTAAATACTCGAGCTTATAATGCTTTTCAACAAAATTTAGTTGGACGAACTATTCAAAATGTTAGGTAAGTAAATAATATTTTATTACTATTTAAAATATTTTGAATGTAATAAATTTTCAATATTAGATTACTTCGTCAGAAATCTGAAGAATCTCTTCATAATATAAGTTTATGTTTTGAGAATGTTGTTCAAGTCAAAAGATTAATGGATTTACTTAAATATAATGGGCCAGTTATTGTAATGTCAGATAATACTAAACTGAAAGAACGACTTGGATATTCATCCTTACTTGACTGTATTGTTGGTTCTACATTACCATTTTCTCAAACTTATGTTACATCACATGATGATATTTATACTATCATTGATCAAATTAAAGAAAATAATGCTATCGCAACACAAGTTCACGTTTATCTTTTGCAGGTATATAAAATTATTTAATTTTTTTATTTAAAAAAAATCAATATTAATTTTTAATATAATTAGATACCACTTCCAAAATTTCCTCCAATTGTGATTGCATTACTACCAAATAAAAATCGAGAAAATGCTAGCTTTATTTTTGAAATGCATGAGAATTTATTAAATATAACTGCCCAATTAAAAATTTCTATCTTAAGATTTGGTACTGATAAAGCAACATCGAAATTTAATGCACAAAAAAAACTTATAGAAATAAATACAGAAGATAGAATTCAATTTGATGATGACTTACAGTAGTGGCAGAAAATAATGATAATTTTTAAGCTATATGTTTTTTCGATCAATCTTTAATTTATTTATAAAATATTTTAATAACATATAATATAATACTACAAGTAAATAAAAATAAAATTTTAATGGTCAATTATATGACCTTTCTTTTCAATAACGTCTTTCAAACGTTTTTTTATACCTGCATATAAATTCGATAGGAGGTCTAAATCAAGATTTTCCCATTCAGATCGAATAATTGACAAAAAATCATTTAATCTAACTGATTTTTTTGTGCTATACGTTGATTTACCCTTTTTTTTACCCTTTTTTTCATTATAGCCCATAAGTTCTCTATAGGATTGATATCTAGAGAATAGGATGGTCAATCAAGCATTCGTGAACATTTTTCTTGAAGAAAAATTGTTGTTAATTTTGCCTTGTGCTTGGGATCATTATCCTGTTAGAATGTCCACCTTCTTCTAAGGATCCTTGTAGCACTAGTAAAAAGATTTTTAGTTAAAATATTCTGATAAAGTTCTCCATTCATATTTTCAGTAAAACAATGAAATTCCACAATTCCGCGTGTACAGAAAACACCCCATGCATGAACTTTGAATGGATGTTTTACAACTACACGTCGTGATTTTTCTTCTCCAATCTTATATCTTACCAATGTTGTATTACGAAATAGTTGAAAAGTAGTTTCATCAGAAAAAATGA